AATATCGTATTAAACATAAGTATACATAAATGGCAGAAGATAATTGTAAATGATCAATTACTTATAAGAAAAAGTATTGGATTCACCAGACAGAATGAAACTGGAAAAATTGCTGTGCTTGGAGTATCTAGGCAGCAGAATAGTGAAAAATTTGTGAAAATCCCAAACAATAAAACTGTTTCCGGCACTATTCCATGAGATCACTGAATCTGTAGAGACCGAGAGAGAGATTCAGAGAGAGAGATGCGTTGTAAATCTGGGTAGGGAATGAAAGTGAAGGATATATCCAAACCCAAAGTAAACAACATTTAAATCACATGAAGACAAGGTAAGTTAGGTAACTCTCATTTTCACAATTAAATGCTAACTGTCATTTTGATACTAAAATGCCAAAAGAATAGCTCAATTTTTATAATCTCACAGCTCTAAGCTTAAGAAAATAATTAGTTAAGCATTCCTATTACAAAACTATGTCAGAAAGGAAAATAGAACAGTGGAAAGAAAGCTAATCGAACAGACACTAATTTATAGTAACTTTAATTGTCACTCTTTCTGCTTTTAAATGGTTTAAATTAGTGAGTAAAACACATAAATATCAAAGTTAAACTTCATTCTCTGTACAAAGGATTTGCTCAGAGTTACATTAGTACTCAATTAGAAATTTTTAAGAACAAACTAATGGAGTAACAACTCTACAACTCCCAAGAAAGAGTTGGCTAAAGAGAAGAGAATACTAAATTGACTTCTAAAATAGAGGGCTCGATATCAATAAACTAAAACAGAACCGAAACTCCTTTTTGTTTTTATTCCCCACCTAAGAAATAGAAAAAGGGCCATTAAAGCCAGAGAGCTCCAACTTCTTTGAGAAGTGGAACCAAAGTCCCATTAATATGTGATGCCATAACTCGTTAATGGGTTCACTAAAGCCTAATTCCAATTAAAAAAAGTACCACAAATAAATCTTATTAAAACTAAACATATTCAGCAAAGCTAAAAAATATTAAATAAAAAGTTTTTTAGAAGGACAAACTCAAGAATTATTCTAAACGCAATTCACAAAACTCTAATTACATAATCCCAATCCCCAGATGCCCTTCACATGATTAACCTTAAAAAAATTAAAATTAAAAAAAAATAAAAAAAATAAAATTTGATACCAACAATAAATCTGAACTTAATTGAAATTTAATCCCAGAAGCCCAAACAACAAACACATATATGAACTTAACTGAAATTTAAAACAAAGAGATTATAAATTCGAACCTGTACAACGATATTCAGGTTGGGTTCGGCCGTCAGAACCTTCGGGCCCTAGGGTAGGGTTTCAATTCTTATTCTCTTATGGTCCTATTATGTTCATTTTGTTGTATAATTGGGTATTGGGGCATTGGGCTAATGCCTATTGGGTATTAAAATAAATTTTTGGGCCATGTTGAATTTACAAAATGGGTGGGCTAATGGATTAAAAATAAAATTTTTCTCACATTTTTTTGGGCTTGTAATGGACATGGGCTTTGGCAGCACTCTGCCCAGTGCTGCCCCCCTTCACTCCGTCCTTGTACTAAAGTATACGAGTAGTAGGAATACAATCTCCACTCTTTATGCTGTGTACATAGAGACATAACAAGTTAGTCAAAGACTTGAAATATTTTCAAAAATTGTAGTTTTTTTCAGTGCTACTTCGATTTTCCAATGCAAGGCTTTTTCGTTTTCCATAGTATATATTTCATGTTTCAAAGCAGTCCTTAACGTAGTAGTTTTCAACAACTTTCCAATCATTTTTGAATTTTGTATATTAGTCTTGAAGATTCATCATGGATTCCGTCAAAAAACTATGGTGTGCAAGTTTTAAGAATCTTACAAAATTTGGTAGAAATATTGGATTAGGCGGGTTTGATTATCGGACGGTTTCGGATTATTTTTTTATATATATTTTTTCTGAATAGCTGTGTGTAGGTGAATTGAAATTTGATTATTACAGAAAGGGGCATCCCAAATAAATAACACCATCATTGTCTTTAATCTCCAACTGCCCAACACCATGTATTAATATTTCTCTATTCAAATCTCTCTAATGGCAAATCTGAAGAGAATATTCATCATTTGAACTTTTAGAAAAGTTATTTGAAGAGTTGTTGATAATATTAGTAATGAAATGGATAATGTTAGCTTTTACATTTTAGGACATCTTAATTTGACTGGGAAATCTTTACAGACCAAAACTTGTACATTGGCCTATCTCAACCTATCCAAATCGAATTAAATGTCAATGTTTTGTGTGATTTTAACGTAAATCAATTAAAATTAAATGAAATTTCAAGGTATGACAAATAATCATCTTTAATTTAAGTTAATCTAATGGCCCTAATCTAATAGAACTTCTTAAAATCACTATAACCACATTCAAATTAAAACACCATTTTAATTTATTAATAATTCATCTAGATTAATTAATCTATAGTCGTTATTCCAAATTGATATCCTGTAATGTGTCAGGGCAACAAATTTGACAAAAACTATCACGTGGTATGACAAAATCAAACTTGTTCGTTTATCATGAAAGTATAATTCCTTCGTCAATATGATCCAATCAATTACGAGATATGAATTGTATCAATCTTGATTATCGATCATATCTTTCATCCAACTATTAAGTCAATATAAGTCAAAAAAATTTTTGACTTATGAATACACATTGATCAATAATTTCGTTATTAACTTAATTGAATAAAATATAGATCATTATCTCTTGTTATTTAAGAGTAACGAATCTTCTATTGATAATTCACAACCTTCATATAATTCTTGATATCGATACCATATTAGTGACTCTTGACAGAGCAACGTTCAACATAACTTATGACTATCCTCATATAAGACACCATGATGACCTTAGGTCGAAAGACTAATATCTACTACTGAATGTTAGAGATTAATTACTAACATTCAGATAATTATCTATATGAAATCTCTCAAGTGAGTCTTCAATATTTTGTTTTCTTAATATAACATTATGTCACTACACCTTACTTTGTGAGATCAACTATTCACTTCACAAGTAAGAAATGTCATACGTACTGGTTTAATTGTAATTATGATATTCATATCCCATTATTATTTACGACCACTAAATAATTTAAAATTCAATCATATGTCACAATTGCAAATTCTTATGATTAACAAGATATAAAATCTTGAATCTTCGAGTTCTATTAACTTATTTTATTATAATAATAATTCAATAAATTAAATAATAGATGTAACATAAATAAAATACACTGAATATATTAAAAGCATTTACGTTTAAAATCAATTGGACTTAGGACATAATACTTAAAATTTCAAGATATATAATGGAGACATTCTTCCTACCTATTAATTGATTATTCTTAATATAAGTTAATCTAACTGCCCGAATCTGATAGAACTTAAAATCACTATAACCACATTCATACGCACCTCGATAAAGATTTTAATGGTTTAGACCATTAGATTAGCTTATGTTAATGATCAAGTTACTTGTCAAATATATTTTTCAAATTTATTGAAAGAGAACGATCTCATATATAATAAAGGTATGGTACTCTTACATTAATGTCATTGCCCGTGCGTTGCCTTACTATGGCTCCGTTTGACATACCTTTTACTTTTACTTTTTGTAAAAGAGCTTTTGGAAGAAGTTAATTTAATTATTGTTTGGAAACTAATTTTTAAAAGTACTTTCTATTTCGAAAGTGCTTCTAGAGAATGCCAAATTGGATGAGCTTCCTCTAAAAATATGTTTAACGAAAGGAAGACACTTTCATAAGATTAGTCAAACGGGTTCAAAAGCTATTTTTGATCTCAAAAAATCATTTTAACATCTTAAAAGTCATGTCAAATAGACCTTATATTTTTGCATGTATATTTACAAAACCCTATGTTGTATAAATACATGCAAGAATATGGTTTCGTCTAATGTATAATCCTTAACACATGGTTTTAGAGTAGATACATTTCTTAAATATAAATTCAGATTCCTGCTCGTCCCAACCCTAGCAGCCATCATCACACTAGACGGCCAGAATACCCCAGCAACACAAATCTTCCTTAACAATGAACACCCAACACCAATCCTCTACAGCCATCTTGACACAATCCATCATGCATCACCCTAGTGGAACTATGATTTAAATAACATCCTAAGGACCAATTTATGACATTCTCAGCTATTCATTTTAACGAAATAGAAAAATTCAATTATTTTTCAATTTGAAGCTCAAGATACTACTTTTTATGTTCTCCAAGACTTCACTTTATTGTCATAATTTGAACTATTCTCTAATAAAGTTCCTTTTCTATAACAATGGTTACATATTTCAGACTTAATAACTTTCTTTTGCTACTTTCGTAGCAGTAAATAAGTAATTGAAATATTCCGGTGTCACATATAATCTCAAAAAGAGTCATTTGTACCTATTTATTATATTCCAACTCCATGAAAGATAAATGATTATCCTATTCCCCTTTAAATTGCAAACCATGCGATGATAGCATATCATCTAAACTCGTCTTCATATTCTCT